CAAGTGGGAATTATCTAATGTCAGAAAAAAGAAAAACAAAGTTAAGTAACACAATTTAATCCTCTCTCTCTCTGCGTGTGCGTGCCTGTGCGTGTGCGTGTGTGTGTGTGTGTGTGTGTCACAGTGTGATGCAGAGCTGCTCCTTACTGAACTGGACCCTGCAGAGCACTGAGGGCGTCCTGTCCAGCATCAGGACCACCTGACAGGAGTTTGTGGAGGACCTGGACTTCTGGAGGGTCCTGCTGCTGCTGCTGATGGTGGTCATCGCCCTCCTCTCCCTGGGCCTCGCCTACTACGTCAGCAGAGTCCTGCCTTTCTCAGGGTGGAGAGGAGGCAGGAAAATAAATGAAGATCTTTATGTAGAACAAAAACTCTGGTGTTTATTTGTTGTGCAAATCTGATCATTTTATTGGAATCTGAACGACATCATGTGATGCTGTCAGCACGAAGAAGAGAGGACGGTGACTCAGAGACACCGACAGCTTCATGTGTGGCCTAACACCTTTAATGTGCAAATTGAATAAAATCATGAATGACTGTAATCATCATCAGGTCACTTTTTTATCCACTTAAAACTTTATTGGCACACTACGGAGCCCCGCAGGGGACATGGAGAAAAAAAAATTAAGACGGACTTTTGCGAGATCTCGCAAAACTAACTCGGGATCACAATTTTTCTCCCTTGTCCCCTGCGGGGCTCCGTAGCACACAGCAGCTTCCCTGAGCTTTTTACAAAAAGCAAAGTAAACACAGTAAAGACTAAATCTGTACAAACAGGCAGGACAATATACAAACTTTATTATTGAAGAGATCTCATTCATCCATCTTGAAGCTAAATTATGCATTGATTATGTAAGCAGATGATTTACAGGCATTACTTCATTGATTGGAAGACAAACACAAAATAATAGAGACAATCTCAAACATTGTAACAGCAGTCAGCCTGAGCAGAAGGAAAACGGAGGATTTCTAAACCTGAGACAGTGGAGTTGCACAGTGGTGCCGTCATAAAGGTGGCGAGTTCAAATACTTAATAAAGGGATGAGCTGTTGTTGTTTTTTCACTCATCAGTTGTGGGTAAAGTCGGGGTTTCCATTTGACTTTAGCATGCTGTGCTGGTCACAGTCTGATTCTCTGTCCTCTTCAGTGCCTCCTCCTCCTCCTCGAGTGCGCACATTAAATTTCCTGTCCCTCAGAAACCAGCCGAGCCAAACCAGCAGGGCAACGATCACAAATACAGCTGCTGTTATGAAGAATGTTCTCCACGACCAGTCGGAGCACTCTGATGGTGTGGAGACGTGCAGGTGGACAGCAGAGCGGTGTTTCTCTGTCTTCTCCACGTCACAGTAATACACTTTTCCTGTGCCTCTCCCTGGGCCTCGCCTACTACGTCAGCAGAGTCCTGCCTTTCTCAGGGTGGAGAGGAGGCAGGAAAATAAATGAAGATCTTTATGTAGAACAAAAACTCTGGTGTTTATTTGTTGTGCAAATCTGATCATTTTATTGGAATCTGAACAACATCATGTGATGCTGTCAGCACAAAGTGTTTATTCCATCAAATATTTTAAGTCATTTAATGTGCAAATTGAATAAAATCATGAATGACTGTAATCATCATCAGGTCACTTTTTTATCCACTTAAAACTTTATTGGCACACTACGGAGCCCCGCAGGGGACATGGGAGAAAAAAAAATTAAGACGGACTTTTGCGAGATCTCGCAAAACAAACTTTGATCACAATTTTTCTCCCATGTCCCCTGCGGGGCTCCGTAGCACACAGCAGCTTCCCTGAGCTTTTTACAAAAAGCAAAGTAAACACAGTAAAGACTAAATCTGTACAAACAGGCAGGACAATATACAAACTTTATTATTGAAGAGATCTCATTCATCCATCTTGAAGCTAAATTATGCATTGATTAAGTAAGCAGATGATTTACAGGCATTACTTCATTGATTGGAAGACAAACACAAAATAATAAAGACAATCTCAAACATTGTAACAGCAGTCAGCCTGAGCAGAAGGAAAACGGAGGATTTCTAAACCTGAGACAGTGGAGTTGCACAGTGGTGCTGTCATAAAGGTGGCGAGTTCAAATACTTAATAAAGGGATGAGCTGTTGTTGTTTTTTCACTCATCAGTTGTGGGTAAAGTCGGGGTTTCCATTTGACTTTAGCATGCTGTGCTGGTCACAGTCTGATTCTCTGTCCTCTTCAGTGCCTCCTCCTCCTCCTCGAGTGCGCACATTAAATTTCCTGTCCCTCAGAAACCAGCCGAGCCAAACCAGCAGGGCAACGATCACAAATACAGCTGCTGTTATGAAGAATGTTCTCCACGACCAGTCGGAGCACTCTGATGGTGTGGAGACGTGCAGGTGGACAGCAGAGCGGTGTTTCTCTGTCTTCTCCACGTCACAGTAATACACTCCGTCGTCTCGGAGCTGAGCTCGCTTCACGGTGAGGGACAGGTCTCCTCGCTGGTACCAGTCTGATGATATGGACGCTCGGCTTTCATCATAGCCGTCCCCGTAGGTGATTTGCTTAGACCGAGGAGGATTCAGCTCCAGCACCAGCTTTCCGTCTCTCCTCCAGCGCACAGATTTCACAGCCTGACCGACTGTAACGGAGCGACACGGCAGGGTGGCACCTTCATCCCGGGGTGCGACAAGTTTATAGGGCAGAAAAACGTGCAACACTTCCAGCTCCCCCCTCTGTTTGTAGTTGCAGGTAAACGCGTAATAGCCGTGATCGTTGAAATCTGCTCTCTTTAATATCAGAGAGTCGGCGCTGTAAACCACCCGGTTAATGTAACCCGGTCCCGGCTTCCAGACACCGTCAAGAGGCGACCAGCTGATCGGTGCCATCCATCAGCTGATGATGTAGTGTCCCTTTTCCTGTCTTGCACTCTTCTGTGAGGGCAAACCTAACATCGTCTAGTGCAGCGGCCTGGATCAGTTTCCCAGACACCCGGCCGATAAACAGAAGAAGAAGAACAACGTAAGTGACTGATGTAGGACTCAACCTGCGCGCGGGGTGGACGTGTGCACCGCGTACCCGCCAGCTGACTTTTTATCACGACTGGGCGTGGCGTTTCTGCCGCTGGATGGCACCGCGATGCCCAATGGCCAATGGACTGTCATGGACAGCTCACATTAGGGATGAGCCGCCTACATGTAAAGTATGTGGAAATACTAAAGGAAGCAGTCCAACAAAGCATGACCAAAGTAGCGCAATGAGTCCTGAGTCTTAGCAGCCTGAGGTGACGCTTTAGAGCAAATCAAGTTAGACCGTGCTGTAGCCACATCCAAAACAGCTAACCCCTATGACTTAACTATTATTATTATTATTATTATTATTGTTGTCGTTATTGTTATTATCACAGTTGTGTGAATGCGTTGTTGCACATGACACAGCCGGCTTTGTTACCCTCTAGCCTCAGTCTACTTCAGATACATGTATTTATGCTGTTTTTATGCGTAGAGTCTTCAGGTGCCCCGCTCCTCGCCTCCACCACTCCTTCCCACCAGACAGCCATAACCACAACTGCACTTTCAAATCCTGTCTCAAAATGCTTGTAATTGTGTGTGTGTGTGTTGTTTTTGTTTTTACTTTTCTGTCCAACGTGACCTGTAGTGTTTTGAATCAGCAGAATCTCACTGAAACTAACATTTGTTTAATGGTGAGGTGAAATTGCCGCTTTTTCTGACACACTGAGTCAGAACAAGCATGGGCGTGGCAAAAAGTGTTCCCCACATTGAACAGTGAAAATATGAGCAACACATTTATGAGCAAACAGTTGCCAGTGTTTTTTGGCGGACATCCTTAGACCAAAGATTTTTGTAGTAAAATATAAAGAAGTGAATTGCCTTTGCTCCTTTTTTTGTTCTCAGTCTTCCCTCATGGATTGCATATTTCATTGTTTCCAGTTCCTACCTCTCTCCGACCTGTCCCCTCTAATGTGATGTCTGTGAAATGAATGTATGGTTGGAAGGGGTCCAATTTCACTGCATATGCATGTGACAAATAAATCTCTCTCTCTCTCTCTCTCTCTCTCTCTCTCTCTCTCTCTCTCTCTCTCTCTCTCTCTCTCTCTCTCTCTCTCTCTCGCGCGCGCGCGCGCGCTTCTGTTTGGAAAGATGAGCCTTTAACGTAAACTGAAGCCCATGATAGTACAGATGGTCTCTGTTGAAACTGATTTGAATCTCAATGAGATTTTTATTTATTTAGAAAATATATATACAAATATAGGCATAAAATCATATGTGAATGGTCATTGTTATCATTTGTGACTACCGTTGGCATTATTGAAGTGCACACTAAACACTAAAGCGCATTCATAAAAGCTGGCATTGTGCAGGAGAGGCAGCTTCTGGCAGATGTGCTGAAGAGGAGGAAGAGGAGAGCTTCTCATGGTCCTTAGGCTTCATTTGGTCGACCGCAGTGCCCGTATGAGGCACCTCTGGGGCAGCATGATGTCATTAACCGGCCAATCAAAAGGCCGACAGGCAAACACACCACGGCTGTAATGATAATGATCACCGTAGGCAGAAATCTACTTTCTTCACAGGCTCTCGGTGTCGGCTGCAGAGATAAAACAACAGAAATGCACTCAGATTTAGACGAGAATTTCATTCTGATAACTTCTTACTTTTATTACATTTTCACACAAATATCTGTACTTTCTATTACATTCTATTAATTACCAGGATATGTTGCATAAAAACAGATGAAAGTGGCAAACCAGTGTGTCATAGTCTGAGGTAACGCACTTCAGTAAGTGCAACCGCTCAAGTGCAACCTCAGCTACCGTCTGTACGCTGCCTTCCTGTGACATACATGTGACATCCCTGAATACTCACAGGCACAAACGGAGGACGGGTGCTGTTTCTCTGAGCCGGACTCCTCTGGCTGGTGACCGTCAGCCTCACAGCAATCACGACTTCATCTTGGATGTAGCAGAAGTAATCGCCCTGATCGTCTTTCTGAGCTTGCTTCAAGGTTAAAGAAAAGTTTCCGTGTGTGACCCAGTCCGCTGACAGCGACAGTCTGCCCTCAGCAGCCCCGGTGTCTTCCCATGAATTCCGCTTAAGCACGTCTTCTCCGTTTTTCTCCCACCGCACAGACCAACGCGCTTTCCCTGTAGTTGAAAAGTAGCAGGGCAGGCTCACCGCTTCTCCCTCGCTAACGCATCTTTCAGAGGACATGACAACTTTGACCTGAACATCCACCCTCCGAGCGCCGCATCGTAGCTCATAAACCCCGGTATCGGTATAAACTGCGTGATTAAACACGACCGACGAGTTTTTACCGATGCGCTCTTTGTAAATCTCGGTCGGTGTCCATACGTCTTGCTTGTGGGCAGCCACCTTCAGCCCGGGGGTCCCGTAAAGATCAAGCCGGTACAGATCACCCTCTTCATTGGTCTGACAGTTTTCTGGAAGCGTAAACGGGTCTCCTAAAATGACTCTCACATGTGGTATCCGTCCCTGACTGCAAAAGGCAAAGATGAAGGACACAAATACGAACAGCTGAAGAAGCCTCATTCTTACAGAGTGCTGGACGAAATATAGAAAGATTGGCTTGACGCGCAAATTTTCAGATAGGCAACGGGGGCGGCTCTGCCCCGGGGCAGGAGGGACGTCCAACATCCAATCACCTGTTAGTATGCAAATGACCCGGTGTCATTCTGTAATGACGACGTGATGAATCTTGCGCTGAATCTCTGGCCCATCATTTATGATGGAAGTGATAGCAGACCTGTAGGTTTTAATTTTTTCAGAATTCCCTCAGTCAGAACATGGCATATTTAGGTGTAAACTAGCGAGCAAACTTCCTGTTAACTTCTAACTCCGTTGAAGTTAATAATTTTGTTTTCATGGATGCCTGGATGTTAAACTTAATTGTTATACCTGATAAAGGGCAACGCTGAATATTTTATTCAAGATGAAAGAATTTAGACAGTTTTATTATATTATATTATATTATATTATATTATATTATATTATATTATATTAACACTAAGTAGAGTAATATTAGATACACATGTGTATCAACTACATTTTACTGCACATTTATAGTTTTTCATTGTTACAGAGTACTTTTAAGATAAAAGTACCGGAAGTAGACGCCACTGCTGAAGCCATGCATTTATTGTTGTCGGCTGGTGTCGGGCAGCGGAAGAAGCAAGTCAAATAAACGGATTCTAACCTCAGAGTCTGTTCAGGAAAACCATTTAAAGACATGGAAAAGACCCTGGTCAGTTTCTCACCTACAGTTTGGGATTTGAGAGGTCTTCAGACTCTGGGTGAGCTTTTTGAGCTATCAGCCATTTTCGTCGGTCGTTAGCTTTGCTCGCGCTGACTGAAACCTTCAGGGTTTGTGAGATATATCCAGGAAATGTTGAGTTTTTTGGCTCATCCACTTGGTTATTATAACCGTTAAGATAATTTTGAGCTATTGAGACACGTGCTAACTGTGCTACTTTGACCAGACTAGAAGGACTATTGTCCCGCATATTAGCAAGGCTAACAAGCTTAGCATACACGGGCCTCGTCGGCATTTCTAAACAGTCTGCTGGCTTCTTTTCTGCCACACGCTTTCTGACAGTAGAAATGTTTAAATTACTTCCAGTTACATCTTTTTGTCTGACCCCGACACCACAAAAGGCAAGTGTAACTAGAGTTTTAGCGATACAAACCATGAAACTAAACGCCACCTCCCGTGTCCTTTTTTCCTTTAGGGTGTGGCATCTTTATAAGGATCTTTATAAAGTATATAGTGAGGTTGAGCCTTTGTTGTACAGTTGTTTGAACTGATGATCTTGGGATATGCCGTTTTTTAGGAATGACTCCAAGAAACATTCCCAGTGTAGTATGAATTTATTTGGATTTATACAGGATAAGGCTGTTACTGTGTGACATTTAATAAGTCACACAGAGGTGTGGCTTTCAGTGTATGAAGTCCTCCTCTTTCACATTTACTTTGATTTAGTGTCACTCCTCCACTGAATAAGTCCGCTGAGCTCCAGCTCCGGCTGTGCGATATGACTAAAATAAAACTCATCCAAACTCGACGTGCATGACGTGTTTTCAGCTGGCCGTCGTGTACCTGGAGTTGAGTGTTTTGACCGATACATGAAACTTGACAACTTTTTTTTTTGCTTTTCATCCATAAACTCTCTCCATACTCTTTGAAGTGATTCTTGTGTAGGTGGGAACGAGTTTTGCTGTGTTTGAGTCTGTGGTGGGGATCGGTTTGCAACATAATTAGCGTAGAACAGATTTTTGGTCCATGATAGAAATAATAGCCACTCTACATTTTCATCTGACAAAATAATGTCTTTTTTCCCCGAGTCAAATTGTTCCCTCGCAGAGAGCGAGAGGAGGCACGGGGACAGCTAATGAGGTCAAAGAGTTCAAATGCTGGGTCACGCAAACACTGTTGAGCAGGTTGAAGGAGCTGTCCAGAAGTGTGTGGCACGTTTTTGTTTGTTTTTTTCTGTCATGTGACTTCCTTACACAGAGTGGAGCAGGCTAATCAGCAGCAGTCTGGCAAATAGGGGTGATTCAGACGAGCAGATAAACCAGTTATGCGTGGACAAATCCCATGTTTGCTGGGTAGGTTTGACCAGCCAGCTGCCTGCATAATGATCTGAGCCTTTAATGTTCATCCAAACTTTTTTTTTTTTTTTACTCAACTTTGAAAGTTGTTTTTTTTAATGAAACATTTATCTATTATCTTTTACATGAAACTCTAATTAGTTTCATGTGTTGGTCTGTCCCACACTAATGAAGTTATGAGGGCTCAAAAATACTAAAATTAAAAATCAAATTTCAAGAAAGCCCTGTAATGTTTATAGTAAGAGTGTAAATTTTTACTTTGCTGCATTATATGGATCTTAATGTATGTAAATTTAGTGAAGTCTACCAAAAAAGAGAGCAGCTGGTTCAAGTTCAGCCCTGAATAATATTTCCTGCTCTTGAGGTAACGTTTAGTATAAGTCAACAGAACCGGCTCTGAGCTGATTTTATTTAAATTTCATTTCAAATGAAAGCCACAAAACATTTTAGACACTTGAGAATAAAAGTGTTTGTTACTCTCTGCTCTGACTGAGCTCTTTCTAATTTAAATATCAGACAAAGATAACGTGAGTAATTTATTATTGTGGGAAAAAAACCAAACCTTCATGGCTCGGTTTTAAAAATAAATAAATAAAATGTGTATGTGTCACTATAATTGGTGTTTGTAGTCATACTGCTTTTCTGTGCTGTCCTGTGACAATCATGTAATGTTCAAATTTGGAATACGTAAGACAGCAGTCGGTAGGGCTGTTCGATATAACAATATGTATCGGATTAGGGGTGGGCGATATAATCGATAGGCGATAGAAACGATATAAATTTGGCCAACGGTAGAGATTTTGACTATACCGCTCTATCACGATAGCGCATGTTGATGATGTCATCAAGCTGCGCCTTTTTTAGTCGAAAGCATCGCAGCGGCTACAACCATTATCATCTGCAAATTATGGCGGGCGACAGTCATAGCAAAGAGATGAAGCACTTTTGAAATATGGGGAAAGCCAAAAACTGCGCTTCCCCCACTTCCGTAACATTGATTCATTAATGTTGAATTCTCTCGCAGCTGTTCTGTTCCCATGTTGTTGCAGTATATTAATAACTAACCTTGTATTATGGAAGAATAATCTCAGTTCTTCTCCTGACTGAAGTTTGGCCCATGTATAGCATCCTGCTATGCGATTACATTTGTCCCTGACCACCAGAATCCCTCACGTTAACTTTTATCGAGTGGAAAAAAAGCTGGTGTTCATCCTCCAGCTTCACTGTGCTAATGTTATGCTACATAGCTGTGTCGCTAGCAATCACGTAGCACAAGATTATATACCAGGTAGTCCAACTTCAGTAAACCTGCAAACGCCACTGCTGTTTAGTTTTCTGTCTTCATTTATGTTGGAAGTGGTAGCAGAGCTGTACGTTTGAATTAGTTTCAAAAATCTCTCAGTCAGAACATGGTATGAAATGTTAGGGTGTAAACTAGCGAGCTAACTTCCTGTTAACATCTAACTCCGTTAAATTTAATAAATTCTGTTTTCATGGATTCCTGGATGTCAAACTTAATTCTTACACCTGCTAAAGCAGCAACACTGATGATTTTATAAAAAGATGAAAGAATCTGGACCGTTTTTAACTCTGTGTTCGTTTGACCTGAAGAGGACGGAGTTTTGGACCCAGATTACTCCGTGAAGCTCCTCACTACGGCAGCCGTAATGCTCTGACAATCCATCAAAACATTTTTTTAACAGATTTCTGCACGGCAAAATCGGTTCGAGGTCAGTAAGCACAACCAGAATTCATACATAAGGCACACTCTCGATTTTTGAGAAAATTAAAGGATATTAAGTCTGCTTTATAGTGTGGAAAATACGTTATACAGAAGAAAAGAATATATTGCGATATATATCGTTACCGATATATATCGCACGGTGGCACGGTGGTTAGCACTGTTGCCGCACAGCAAGAAGGTCCTGAGTTCAATTCCACCATCAGGCCGGGGTCTTTCTGTGTGGAGTTTGCATGTTCTCCCCATGTTTGCGTGGGTTCTCTCCGGGTACTCCGGCTTCCTCCCACCGTCCAAAGACATGCAGCTTGTGGGGATAGGTTAATTGATTAATCCAAATTGTCACTAGGTGTGAATGTGAGTGTGAATGGTTGTCTGTCCCTATGTGTTAGCCCTGCGACAGACTGGCGACCTGTCCAGGGTGTACCCGGCCTTTCGCCCTATGACAGCTGGGATAGGCTCCAGCGCCCCCCGCGACCCTGAAAAGGATAAGCGGAAGCGAATGGATGGATGGATGGATGGATATCGTTACCGCACGTGCTTCAGATTATATCGCAATATGGATTTTAGGCCATATCGCCCAGCCCTATATCGGATGATAATATATAAAAACGTCTATCATTTCATTTTACGCTATCGCTTGTTTCATGGTGTCGCAAGATAAACTGTTTACAGCAACATTTTTTCATGGTTTTGATGGTCACTGTAGTGGCTATATTCATTTCTTAAAGTCTCTCTTTCTCTTATATTTAATATGAGCACACTACGGACGGACAAGCGACTGTTTTTAGCAACAAAGACGGTAAAACCATTGCGTGTCTGCTAGTTTAGTTTCCACATAAACCTTTCACAATAAAGCTCAAGATCTTGTTGAGACTTTTCAAAATAAACTGAATCATGTGAAAGAGTATGCCAAAAAGAGCCATCAGGTGCTAAAAAAAAACCCCTTAGGCTCAAACGTTAGAACAGGCTTTTCCCCGCAGCACGATGTGTAATAAATACTCACAAAGAAAACGGCGGCTGTTAAAACACACGACTCCAGGTACACGGCGCCCAGCTGGAAACACTTCATGCAAGTCGAGCTGCCCGATATTCACAGAATTGACAGAAAATGTTAAATTTTTTTGATTTATATCGTTATCGGGACAATAAATGTCTTATATGGGGATATAAGGTTTTGGTCATATCGCACAGCCCTAGCAGTCGGTGTTATCTGTACAACAATCAGGAAAACGTCCTCCAAGTTTAAATCTGATGTCTGGACATGGTTTAGATTTTTTATTTGTATTTTTTTTAACAGGGATAGGACAAATGAAATGGGATGGATATGTACAGATACATTTCAATTCAATTTCTGCTATCTGTACAACAATGCTGTAAAATAACTTATATGGGGACTACAATATCTGTAGATATTGGACAACAACATTGTACAGATATTGTACTTCTTATGACAGATTTCAGTGAGTGACTATAACACAATTTTCCCCCCTTCAGGCAGATGCAAACAAGCATGCTAACACTGATATCTGTGGAGCTTGCATGCACTTACCGCTTCAATCAAAGACATGCAGTCAAAGCTGGTCTGTTGTTCTCACGGCTCGTTTTGTGTTTATGTGTTGTTTTAAGCTGAGGTCGGCTCTAAGCTTGTTCACATGTCTGTGCTGCCGCTCTCCCTTTCTGCAGGTGACGTGATGATGCTGCTCATCTTCATCACCAGCTGTATATGTGATGGAGGCTGAGGATTGTGTGGATGACCAGGTGTGTTTCATCGGTGTAGTTTTCACAGCATCAGGTCCTGTTTGTACTTCACCCTGAAAAGCATCAAACACTTTACATTCACATGTGTCTATGCTGCAGGAGCTTCACTCTGAATCCTGACCTCCTTCTGCTTCAGTGGTTTCTGACTCCATGACTTGGTCATCATGGCAACCATCTGGATGACTGAGGTCCCTGATTTGACTTTCTGAGGTCAGTCATCACTGTTAATGTTTATATTTTGTTGGGATTGTTAAAAGTTAGCAGGCTGTTACATCTGGTATCATGTATTGGTGTTTTTCCTACAATGTATCAGGTGGATGAGACCAACTGAAGAACTTTTCCCTCTTTAACCCTTTAAGACCTACAACAGAACCAAGTCCGCCAGAGCTTACTTTATATTTTTACATGCTGTAGTGCCATTTTTGGGAGCATTTCAAGTTGCTATACATCAATACAACTGTTATAGCCCAACTTTTAATAATATGTCTGCATTAAGCCCATAGTAATTACATAAATTGCAAAAAAGTGCAATAAACTACAAAAAAATTGAAAATCATTTTTCTACTTAGAGAAATTTAAGAAATTTATCCCTCAAAACTGTAAATACAAGGAAGTTGCAAAAAATAGTTTCCAACCACAGGAAATTTATTTTGAGTGTCTTCGTAGTTTTATTTTTGAGATACAGCAATTTTTATACACTGCAGAAAAAACGAAAATAAATCCTATAATGCAAATTTGCAAAGAAAACAGCAGGTGCATCAAAATAAACTATTTAAATTAGTGCAGTTTGAGTTCTAAGCATCCCAGAAACTATTCAGAAAAGCATGAAGTCAAACATGGCTTTTAGGCTTATAAGGCCTACAAGTTTAAAAAAAACCCTACATTTTCCGCAAAAATAGTAGTAATGGCGGACATGCGAAAGTTCGCGCTGACGTTTATTTCAATGTAGGAAGTGTTACGAACAGCTGATCTGATCGGCAAAACGTGTTTTTCTGGAATATTATGTTTTTGCTGCTGCAAGTGCTTTTTATGCAATTTTTCCAAAGCGATATGTGGAAGGAAACTGACCTAGGACAAGCTGATGGCATAAGATGTAAGTTCAACTCCGGTTTCTTATGCAAAAAAAATAAAATTATTGCGCTAGCTTACGTGGCTCCGGTTCTACAGTGATTTAAAAATAGTTACGCAAAACGGAGCGTGCCCGCTCCCACCGGCTTTAAAGGGTTAATAGAAAAGTTGGTCCAACTCAAAACAGCTCTTAAATCTTAATATCATAATGTAAATATCTAAATCTTAATATTGATCAGTATTTAGAGACAGTTGAGTAATTTGTGCAGCACTTTTGCTGTAGATGAACAACGTGTGTGCTGATGAATCAATTTTGATTAATAAATGTTGAGTAAATGCTGGAAAAATAAAATATGAATCACTGTTGTACATAAATCAGTCAGCTCCATATTAGTATTGAAGTGTGGAATGAAATAGGCTGGTTACGTTAAATCATCCCAGGATGTGGGTTAAATGTGTCTCTCCTCTTGGAGTCTCAGACTGAAGTCGATGAAGCAGAGATCAGGACCCTCATAATCTTTGAATGCATTTCCACAGGTCTATAAAATCAGGCATCCAGTCATGCAGTTACAAACCTTTGTGATAAATGGGTCGGCTAGCTGAATTCAAGTGTAGTATTATAACAGGATGCCACCACTGGAATAAGTTCAGAGAGCACAGGGGAAGAAGCTGTTTGTGAATGCAACGCCTCAGATGAAGCTGCCAATGTTACAACAATTGCCAGTGAATGATGAATATTTCAAGAAGCTCTATCAAGCCTGTTAGAGGAGGCATCTTAATCAAAATGTTCACATCCTCCTTTCTTGCAGTACACTTGTAAAACAAACACTGTAAACAGATAATACACCTGGCTTATCTATGCTGTGACACCTGCCATTATGAGTAAACTGTGTGTAAAAGAATATAACTTAATGAAGCGGGGAAGATAAACATCAGTGCTGCATTTATGCTGCCTCTCACACAGCGTGTCAGTGCATCATGACCCAGTGTCCTGCACCGGGAAGCTCTTGTAGAAGCCTGCTTAATCATAATCTACAAGGCTGGGAAAAAGTTTCCTGTGCTTCAGAAAGTGGAGCATCAAAGGCGTCAAGCCGCCTGTTAAATTCCTCTACCCTTTATCATTCCTGGCAGTCTGCAGTTAGGGGGGTAGAAAAGTTATCTATGCATAGAAAGCCAGGGATTGTAAAAGAAACCAAAAGAGGACCGACTGTTGTTCTTGTTCCTGAAGGTGGCTCTTTGTGCCTCTGATGGTGTGTTTGTGTTGAAGCTGCAGAATCAGGCCATGGTCTCTCTAATAGTGCTGAACATCAGGCTGTTAACTGCAGAGCATCAGACCTTCTTATCTGTGATCCTCCCGACAGTTTCTCTCCTAACTCTTGGTAAGAGTTCATGGAGGACTTCAGCTTCTTGCAGCTGCTCCTGCTGATAGATGTCATTGCTGTCTTCTCCCTCTGCACTGGCTGCTACGTCTTCTTTGTTTCTGCTTTTCTCTTTATCATGACTGTGACTCTGGCAGCTGTGCTGAAAATATGATTGTTCTCCTTATAATAAAAGCTGGAAGCTGAAAGTCCTGCCTGTGCTGAGACATTTTTTCGTGCATGATCTTCACAGAAGTAAACAGCACAGGACAAAGGAAACTGTGGGTGACGTCATCTTTAGCTCATAGAAAAATATATAAAAATATTTGAGTTTATTATTTGCCACATTTATTTTAAGAGTCAATATGAGTGTGGATTGTCACATACATACTTTTGAACCAAACAGCCCAAAATGTGTCATCATTAAAATGACCTTTGTTAAGTTATAAGTAATGTGGACAGCTTAATGTTTCGGCACCTGCATTATTCTCATTTTCATTATCAGACTTTGTTTTGTTGTTGGCTGATTGTTGTAAACTTGTTATAACAGCGGGAAGATCATTCTGGGCAGCAGAAATGAGGAAACGTGAAAATGTGAAGAAGCTGTTGGCAGTATTTCATTAAAGTATCAGATTCATTCATTGAAGTCTGTTCTGGGTTGTTGGGGCCACTTTTTTTCTTGTACAGTCTGTCTGCCTGTCTGTCCTCGTCAGGTGTTTAGTTCAAGCTCTATTAAGTTGAAATAAAGGTTGAAGTGTTTGAAAGGATTCACCTTGTTTACTCAAGTAAAAGTGAAAAAGTGCAGGCTCTGAAATGTACTGAAAGCAAGAATGTAAAAAGTAGTTCTTGACGGACATTTCTACCACTTTTTCTTTCCTTTTTGTGGAAACATTGTGCTCTATTAAAATAATAATAATATTAATATAACTTGTACTTGGAAATATATATTTTACTTTGCCTGTGCAAACAGTAAAATGAGTAAAGTGAAGAGTTAAAGTGAGATTTTGCAGGTGCTAATATCCACTCCCTGCACTGACTGTATACTGTTCACACCGTCTTTATACCAGAAACTTCAG